ACAGTATGTTGGAACATCATGGGACTTTATCAGAGACAGAATGTTTTCAATCAGTACAGTATGTTGGAGCATCATGGGACTTTATCAGAGACAGAATGTTTTCAATCAGTACAGTATGTTGGAGCATCATGGGACTTTATCAGAGACAGAATGTTTTCAATCAGTACAGTATGTTGGAGCATCGTGGGACTTTATCAGAGACAGAATGTTTTCAATCAGTACAGTATGTTGGAGCATCATGGGACTTTATCAGAGACAGAATGTTTTCAATCAGTACAGTATGTTGGAGCATCATGGGAGTTTATCAGAGACAGAATGTTTTCAATCAGTACTGCAGGAGATAAAAATACTGACAAGAAGGAACCAAATAGTTTTATGCAAAAACATTTTCATGACTTCAAACAAACAGTGTTATTGTGGAAAACTGCAAGCAGAAATATTTTTTGTCAGTATTATCTGGAACAAAGACTGCTGAATGTCCTTATGGCTATCTGACCTTGACCTGGAGGTCAAGGTCATGTACGTTGAAGCAGGTGAAGATTCTGGCCTGCATGCTGCAGCCTGTCAGTGATGTATGTCTTAGTAGAAGACATATAGCTTATTGCTGTATCACATGCTGAATTACAATAAAAGACATTTCGTCATTCCAGAGAGTTAAAAACAGCATCCTGCCATATTGATTATGAAACACAAACATCACAGTTATATAAAAGCATTGATAATACACACCCACGCATGCACCCACGCACACACCTACTCATGCACGCACGCAAGTCCAAACATACACAGAGATGTGCGCGCGCACGCACGCACACAGGCGCACACACACACACATACAAACACACACACATTCACGTTCCTACTCTATAAAGCATTAAATATATAACTAGCAAACATGGTTGTAAATGAATGCTGATGTCAGTGATAGCAATAGAATAAACTATTCTACGAAATAATTCGGTAGTTGAACATATTATGGAGGAGTGCGGCAAGGGGCTTTATAAACTGATTATTAGTAAGTAAGAATACCATTTTAGTAAGTGAGTTGAGTTTTACGCCACTTTTATTCACACATTTCACCCATGTGGGCGACTCTAACCCATGTCTTCAGCATGACGAGCGAATGCCTTAACAATTAGGCCAACCCACCGCCTTAATGTATATCTCAGAGACCTCAGGGAATATCTGTTGAACATGACTCAACCAGTGAGCAGACGCAATCGTCACCTTGGAGAATTCACGTGTTGCTTTGATTGTATTGGGCTGTAATGATACACCGTCGCAAAATGATTCTCATCTTGATAGGAAAATCGTGACCCGAACCATTGTGTGGTTTATGATAAGGAGACCCTTGTCTTGCTAGGAGACTACTTCCTCGCCAGTTGATGGAATACGCCGGGAGAAATAGATAGGAGTTTAATCACGAAAGGCTAGAGAAGTCATGAACATGGCGTGATAGAACAGTAAATTTCATACCATTTAACCTTTAATCGTTATTATAGTATGTAATTCTTATAAATGTGTAATACCCTCCTCTGTTCAATGTGCTATATATGTTCTCTGAGTGTTGTTGGAGAAAGCACAAATCTTACCTCTGAAGTGGTCGTTACTACTGTACAATTACAGACCGACGATTGTCGAAATACTGAGGTTGTTTACTACAACTGAACCCTCATGGATGGGTAGAGTATATCCTCAGGTTTTCATTCTCAGCTCCCTGAGGAACATGCAACACAAGCTGGCTGTGATGCTAGATTAAGCACATCTTGCCATCTCGTCCTACTAGTTATATTGCATATACCAGTCAATATTAATCTTTCTTTTTTCGCAGAAAACATTGTTTTGGATGATATAGTTGCCAGGGAACTTTCATTGAAAAATTCTTTAGTTAAGCAGTTGGAATTAGATGAGATATTGTTCTCTTCTTCTCAAAGGAAAAAAATGCAACTCAATATGCATATTTGTCAAGTAGCTCCCATTTTGTCGGTGGTCAGGCTTGCTGACTTGTTGATCACTGGACTCGAGAATTTACAGTCCACCACCATATAGCTGGCATATTTGTGAGTGAGGCGTTAAACACCAAACAAACATATTGGCAGGAAAGCCTAAAATGATGCCACTCTCTCTACAACTGAAGCATGGATACAGTACTGAAACTAGGAACCTGAAATAGTCAAACCTGGACTTGAACCCACAGTCACAGGTTTCTGGCCTACCAAAGGGAGACAACTCTACACAGTGATACGGACCCAAGATGTCTGGGCTTAATTGCCTCTGATGGATTAATGAAAGCTGAGGACAGGCAATAGATGGTTGATAATGTACAAACACATGGTTGTGTTATTCTTCTTGATGAAGCTTTCAGAACAAAACATGAATACATGACACAAAACATCATGTATTTTTTCATGGAACCAGCTTCACGATTGCAATGCAAGCAACACCACAGGAAGCGATGAAGCAGCTAATGACTTGCTGTTGGGGACAATGAATGATATGTCAAAGTGAATGTTTTCGCGTCTGCTCTTTAATTGAATACACAAGCTCCTCGTGGACAGAAAGTAATGGGAATGGGCGCAGACATGTAACCAAGCTAAATTTCAATCAGCAGGACGTAAAGCCTTCACAGACTTACATTAAGATATCTCCTTGTTTGCCGAGAACCAATTCTAGGACGACGTGATGATGAACCTCAGTCATGCATCTAGACATTATCAATTACCGGCCAGCCATAGCCCCCTGTGTACCTATACCGACCGATTCCAACCTTTGGATGAAACACTGCATCAGCGGCTGCCTGGAAGATGTCTTTGAATATTCAGACCATCCATATGATGACAATAGGGACTTGAAAAGAATTTGTGGTTCGTAATTTATTCAGCGTGGAATATGTATTGTCTGACTTCACACTCATTCTGTCAGTACTGCAAGTTATGAAACACAATTTCCTTTGACTCGATCAAGTTCTATGATCGTGATATGATGTGGTTCTGCAAGGGATTATCAAATGATTCTTTGCATGCGATGGATTTTTTTGCCAATGAGGATGAGCATCTATTCCTATTCAGGCACAAAATTAGTGTCTGATTTCTGAGATGATTGAATGAAGAGCATTGTGTCTGAGCACTGGAGGCAGACTCATCCTTGTCATACAGAACTATAGATCCATCTGTTCTCCAGAAAGTTATCCTCGCTTAATGCTGAATGTGCAGTTTTCGAGAGGATTGTTTTAGTCAGGGAGTGTGCAGGAATTGCGGACGTTACACGTAAAGCTATGTCTGTAATCATGTTGGAGGTGAGTAGGACTTTGACATCTCCAAGCACCGGTCTGTCACCTGATTGCCTGTCCATTTTCATTTATCTTGCAGTGAAAAATATTTCATGAAATTGTAAAAATTAATGTTTTAACTTTTTGTGAGTGTATTTTGTAACATATACAAACTTAAAATGTAATGGCAGGTCGGGTCGGGGCGGTGAGGTAGCCTAGTGGTTACAGCGTTTGCTCGTCACGCCGCAGACCAAGGTTTGATTCCCCACATGGGTACAATGTGTGAAGCCCATTTCTGGTGTTCGCCGCTGTGATATTGCTGGAATATTGCTAAAAGCAGTGTAAAACTAAACTCCCTCACACTCACTCAGGACGTCTTTAATTAGTTAGTTAATTAATTAATTATGCTGTCTCGTCTCTTGTGTGTCATGTAAGTCAACTAAACTACTCAAAACTCAACATGCTCTCCATGTTGCAAGTACACACTCAAATCATTTCATTCATCTAAAAACATATCACATACAATTTTACCTTGCAATGTTCGTTAGAGATGTTTGTGGGTGCTTTCAGAGCAGACGGATTTTTTGAAAAAAATATCACATACAATTTTACCTTGCAATGTTCGTTAGAGATGTTTGTGGGTGCTTTCAGAGCAGACGGATTTAAAAAAAAATATCACGTACAGTTTTACCTTGCAATGTTCGTTAGAGATGTTTGTGGGTGCAATCAGAGCAGACGGCCAGTTTCAACTTAACTTTGTCAAAATACTATGGTTCAAATGAATTTTATTAAATAGGATCATTTTTATTTGTTATGCCCCCTGGCAAAATAATGCAGGAAGATATAGTCATCTCCTCGTCCGTCTGTCTGTCCATAATCTTTTCGTTTCCGGAGCACAACTCGAAAACTGTTCAATATCTTTCAACAAAACTTGGCAGATAAATCAAACAGATTATGAAGTGGTGCCTTTAGCTATTTGCAGATTTTTTTTATTTTTATTTCTCTCACAGATCTTAAGTAGTTGTATGGAATTGTGCCCCTTATTTCAGCCAGGATTTAATGTTTGCTGTTGATATATTAATCATGTAACTAAGTGCAGAGATGTAAGGACTGAGAGGTATGGCACCACTAAGGTCTGATCTGGATGTGCGGAGTTGTGTCCCCTTCTCACAGGTTGCATACATGTGGGTTTGAATCTCAAGATATGTTCATTTTAGAGGTCAGTGCCTGGGGCTAACATTCCTCAAATTGTAACTTTTATAACGCAATCTTACACAAATATATTCTGTGAAGATCCAGGTTAGATTGGTTTTCAGCAACAAATGCTTGTAGTAAGAGGTGACTAATGGGATGGGTTTGTCAGGCTCACAGACTTGGTTAATGATTCATATCCTTGCTAGGTGTGATGCTCATGATATTGATCCCTGGATTTTCAGGTCTACATTGGGATTCCAGAGTAAATGCCAAAATTGACGAGGAAACAGGAACAATGTAGTGATAGTGCTGTAAATTTGATGATTTATATGTGATTATTTTCAAAGAATCAAATTAGGATTTATATTTTACTATCATTTGCTGCAGACATGGGGCCAAATATTAGCCTCTGAGCAGGTCTAGATGAATCCCTGAGACTGCTGAAGACAGTGTGTGTGGCGTCTGCTATCAATGTTCAGATGATTTTGTATATTTGTTAATTATGTGATAATTTTTAACTGTTTGGGTTTCCTTTCAGACGGTGTCTGACTTCTCTGAGAAGCAGTGTGAGCGACACTCGTCAGCTGGTGGAGGAGAAGGATGATGGAAAGCCCAGAAGCAACATCCCCATGACCAGCTTCAACTTCATCAACTCCATCATCGGGTCTGGAATCATTGGTGAGTCCAAAAATTGTCTCTTCTGCTTTGACCATGATTACTGTTGAGTCCTGCCTTTTTTTCTGTGCAAGTCAGATTTGTGATTATTGGTGAATCCACTCTACTGTCTTCTGAGGTCAGAATTTATTTATTGGTGAGTTCTCGTTATAGTTTGTTGAGGTCAGACCTGCATTATTATGAGTACTCCTTTATGCCCGCTGAAGTAAGAGCAGGAATAATATTAAATCCTCCTTACTGCCTGTTGAGGACAGATACAAAGAGTAAAACCTTCCTCTGGGCTTGAATGATGATATCAGTTAGACATGCAAGGATATTTCAAAAGACATTCAGCAACATTCTAGCTATATGACTACAGCTAGATAACTTTCTCAACTTTCAACCAGCAAGGTCTCTGATCCTCCTCTGACTCTCTCCTCGCCCAACGCATATCTCCAAACCAACGGTCTGATCGAGCCTTCTCCTTTGCCAGCCCTGAACTGTGGAACCCTCTTCTAAAGGAAATCAGGAACACTTCATTTAAAGAAAGTTTTAAGTCTCTGCTAAAGACCCATATGTTTACTGCTGCCGTTTTGTCCCCCGCCGCAACACGGAACGGGGGACTATGTATTCAGTGGCGTCTGTCCGTCCGTATGTACTTCCAGTTTCTTGTTAAGGCAATATATCTTATGGACTGTTGTACCCAATGTCTTCAAATTTGGTAACAGCCCACATTGGGGGATTACGCAGACACCAGTTTATTTTGGTGACCTTGACCTTATCTTCAATGTCACCATGACACTTTAAACACTTTTCAAACTCTTTGTTAATGCGACATCTCATGGACTGTTGTACCCAATGTCTTCAAATTTGGTGACAGCCTACATTGGGGGATTATGTAGACACCAGTTGATTTGGGAGACCTGGCCTGGACCTTATCTTCAATGTCACCATGACACTTTAAACACTTTTCAAACTCTTTGTTAATGCGACATCTCATGGACTGTTGTACCCAATGTCTTTAAATTTGGTGACAGCCCACATTGGGGGATTACGCAGACACCAGTTTATTTGGGTGACCTTGACTTTATCTTCAAGGTCACCACGACACTTTGACCTCTTTTCAAACTTATTTAAACGTTATATCTCATAAAACATGGCACCCAATGTTTTCAATTACGTTGACAGCCTACATTGGGTGATTATGCAGACACCAGTCATTTCAAGCTTCTTGTATGTGACCCAAAAATAAATAGTAGTAAATATAGATGTTCCATTCTTTAGCGGCGGGGGACATTGCCATATCAGTGGCAAACACTTGTTGTAAAAGCTATATGAACTATTTCCTTCCCAATATTGTCACACTGCCACTGAGCATCTCTATGGTGGATATTAGGTGCTTTATAAATACATTATTATTATGATGATGACAGTCTGTAAATAATCAAGTCTGGACCAGTGGTCAACAGCATGAGCATCAATCTACGCAATTGGGATACGATGACATGTGTCACCCAAGTCAGTGAGCCTGACCACCCGATCCTGTTAGTCGCGTCTTACGACAACCATGGGTTGCTGAAGACCAATTCAAACCCGGATATCTTCATGGGTGAAGAAGCATCTAACCCCAAAGTATCAAGTTCTACAAGATCGTAGCGTAGCATGGCGTGTGGTTGTCTCATCTCACCGACCTTCCATTCATCATCCTGTAATTTTCACTCCCAAGTTTGCTGAAGGGAGAGGCCTGAAATTCTAGAGCATGGGTAATATGGTAATACATCTATTGACAAGTGTCTCAACTGTCTGAATCACAAAACATCATGGCATGACCTCACTTGACTTTGTGAAAGTCAGTTGCATTGTTTATTCATGGCTTTGCAATTGGATAGTTGTCATGAATATGTTTTACGAATATTTACTAAGCATGATATGTAAATTAAGGTTGATCTTTGAATTTCTTGGATGTAATTATTATTGTCGCTTGTGTAAGGTACCAATGAGGTTTCCGATGGAACTGACTCCTAAATGGCGTGCTGCTCGTGGGGAATTAGCTAACTATTTCTCTAAAATTGAAGCAATAAAAAGATTACATTTTGTTGATGATACAAAATGGGGTGTGCCCTATGATCCAGTACAATCAATGAACAGACAGAGGGGAGTAATTATTCCTGCTCATCCTAATTCAACTGGCACTAATCTTGTTGACACATTTACTGGATGCGTGGATGATTCCAATACATACATGGTATTACAATAGATGCGCTTACTCTGATTTGAATCTTAATGAGCCTAAAGAGATTAATTTTTAAAACTTTTGACTTTTAATCATAATTTTCAAAGTATTGACTTCAAAATACTGACTTTATGAATTTCATTTGTGCAGTTGTACATTATCTTTAGCACTATCTATGTGTGCTAACCAGCCATTTCAACTCATTACCTGGAGGTGTCTTTACATAGCATAAGCAAGTGTTGCTTTTTGACCTATCCTGATTTTCTAAAAATTGACATATGTTTAAACCATGGTGATTCTTATCTTTCAGGAATGCCATTTGCACTACGACAGGCTGGCTTTGGATTGGGAATAATACTGATAGTTGTTGTGGCACTTGTTACAGGTGAGTTACAGCGTGTTGTAGGATAGATGTGATGGATGTTGTTCCAGTTCCTCTAATGCATCTTTTGTTAAGCCTTCTATCATGACATTTGTACAATTACTGACGTGGTGACGCCATCTACCTTATATTGTACAATTACTGATGCGATGACGCCATCTACCTTATATTGTACAATTACTGATGCGATGACGCCATCTACCTTATATTGTACAATTACTGACGGATGACGTATATTGTAATAATTACTGAGGCGATGACGCCATCTACCTTTATATTGTACAATTACTGATGCGATGACGCCATCTACCTTATATTGTACAATTACTGATGCGATGACGCCATCTACCTTATATTGTACAATTACTGACGTGATGACGCCATCTACCTTATATTGTACAATTACTGATGCGATGACGCCATCTACCTTATATTGTACAATTACTGACGTGATGACGCCATCTACCTTATATTGTACAATTACTGACGTGATGACGCCATCTACCTTATATTGTACAATTACTTTCGATAGATGACGCATCAACCTTTATATTGTATAATTACTGACGCCGATGACGCCATCTACCTTATATTGTACAATTACTGATTTGATGACGCTTTATCAACCTTATATTGTATAATTACTGATGCGATGACGCTTATCAACCTTATATTGTACAATTACTGACGTGATGACTTCATTCTACCTTATATTGTACAATTACTGACATTGATGACGCATCTACCTTATATTGTACAATTACTGACGTGATGACGCCATCTACCTTATATTGTACAATTACTGACGTGATGACGCCATCTACCTTATATTGTACAATTACTGACGTGATGACGCCATCTACCTTATATTGTACAATTACTGACGTGATGACGCCATCTACCTTATATTGTACAATTACTGACGTGATGACGCCATCTACCTTATATTGTACAATTACTGACATGATGACGCCATCTACCTTATATTGTACAATTACTGATGTGATGACGCCATCTACCTTATATTGTACAATTACTGACGTGATGACGCCATCTACCTTATATTGTACAATTACTGACGTGATGACGCCATCTACCTTATATTGTACAATTACTGACATGATGACGCCATCTACCTTATATTTGTTTGTTTGATGGTTGCTCAACGCCTCACTCAGCACTATTCCAGCTATATGGCAGCGGTCTGTCAATAATCGAGTCTGGACCAGACAATCCAGTGATCAACAGCATGAGCATCTATCTACACAGTTGGAATGCGATGACATGTGTCAACCAAGTCAGCGAGCCTGACCCCCCGATCCCGTTAGTCACCTCTTACGACAGGCATGGGTTACTGTAGACCACTCCTAATCCAGATCTTCACGGGTCTCAACAGGAAGGATGTATTCAGCCATTGATGCACCTTGCAGCTCTAGAACTATGTTGTATAAATTCCTCTAATGCATTATTCTGTTAAACCTTTCACATGAATGGCTAGAGCGGTGTCGGGTATTACCGAACAGCTAACACCAGATCCCGCCATCTTCCTGTTGTGTTTCATCACACGTGACAATAATTAACACACACAACGAACCTCTCAATGTGTATCATATTCACGTTTGAAGACGAGTTAATCCCGTCCAGTAAACCTTTTGCAGGCAAATATTTGACACGGTCTAATTTTCAGATTTTGCTCTCTTGTCGGCTCTGCCGAACAGTCACGTCGGGCTATTCCGAACAATGACGTCGGGCTATTCCGAACACTCTCGTCGGGCTTTTCCGAACACTCGTGTCGGGCTATTCCAAACAATGGCACAGGCTGACGACCTCTATGACGTGTGTTTATGCGGTCATTTCATACATATTATATACTCTGATCTCCAGTCATTTACTTAAATTTGTATAATTTAGTCTGTTCTAAAATACAGCTAGAATATTGTTGAGTGCGGCGACAGCGGCGATAAACAACAAACCAACCAACCAATATTTGAAAAGTGCAAATAGGTCAAGCGTGAGTGTTTTTTTCACTCCACGTTATGGATAAAAGGAATTCATGTAGATTTAATTGGATGTGTTTGTTCCGAATAAGGAATAAACGTCATTATACTGAAAATTTTCAGAGAATGAAAAGTAACAAGAGACGTACTGTTTATAGTGGTGTGTTCTTAGCTTATATTCAAAAGTGTCTTCGGCACTCAGTATACTGATATACCAGTTCCACGCCCTATAACGGTATTGTGTAATAGCGTAACCATAACTCATATATTATATTAGAGCATACACTTCGTTGCTACCAAGGTCAGATATGTTATTGTTTGATGTGTTATCTCAACATCCAGTTAATCATGATAACATTCTCCCGTAACCATGCAGGTGAAACAAATCACATATGTACCATTCAAATACTGCCATGAACGCATGCATCATACGAAATAATTTATCCCGGTATATTTACGCAATTTACTCATATAAGGATGTGTCCAAAACACTTCATGTGGTTAAAAGGTATTTATCAGGTGTGGTGCTGAGCAGTTATATACCATGTAACAACTCTTTAATATGTGCGTATGGCGGAGGGATTTTCTTGTTCTCTGTGGAACAAAGTTGTCATGAACGATTCATCTCATGACAGTACTATCTACAACTTTTAAAGATACTGATTATAGTCACCAGCAACCAAAGCTAGGCCACCTCGATGGATATCATGGAGACTTACGGTACCTCAGCTTCCTGCACATACCCCAGTAGGATTTATGTCGTCACTTTAGCTACTGGTGGTTGTAGACAATATTAGCCGATCTAAAGAAAGATCAAGAAGTGAGTTTTTATGACACGTATAAGTTGATGGGAATTACCAGTTGATAATAATGCACAACATTTGGTCAGCTATCACCAGTTATTGACAAATACAAAAATCCTTTGAGTATTGATCTTAACCTGATTAAAAATTCTTGATAGGCATTGATCAATACACTTTACTGAAATGTGAAACGTGAAACATTTGTGAAAGAGCAATATGAAAGAACCACAAACTATAAATCACACCACACCAAGTCTCCTTAAAGAAATATGCTGTGTTTAGCCAGGAGGTAACGGATAACATGTTAACCATGAAAACCTATGTGATTCCACTTACGTGTAATTTAACCATGTCAGTTCAGTAATTTGATATAAAGTAGGCCTAAACACAGAAAACATATTCTTCCATTTTTGTTCCAAATATAGCAATTTGAAGGTAAACATTCACTATTAAAAATTCAGCGTAAGAAATCCCACTCAGACGGAAAGTACATGAAAAAGAGTGCTGTATTAATTATTAACAGTATCACTTGATCAATGTTTTCTTCAAAATGCAGTTCTTATATTTACTTGTAAATCATAAAACTGCCAGGAATCAAACAGGTATTCCTGAACAGTGTCTGACCATTCGCGTTACAGATATGTTCCAGTGTGTGTCTATATATCAGGTTTATATATCTTTAATTAATAATCTTTATTTTTATTGATTTGATATATGTCTGGTCGCTTTCTCATTGAAACATTATTTCAGTAAAAGAAAACTGAACTGTTTGTGTGCAAAGAGACTTGATCACATCATGGCATTAATTCCCACAGCGTCCGTGACTCTTTCTATTATTTCACGTCAGAATGCAAAACAAAATGGGGCATACGGAAGATGAGAATCCTAGAAAAAATTACTGGAAGCCTTACTTTAAATACATGATTAATGTGTATGTTTGTTATGACATTAGGACGTATTTTATGGAAGACAAAATTAACTGACCACGAAAAGTAATGGAATTACGTATTTCAACAGGGACAAGGGTGGAAATAATTGAACAATATTGACGTTTAAGTCATTTGAAGGTCTCAAACACCATTAGATGTTTGACGTTACTTGAAGTATCGGTCTATAATGACTGGAACCGATAGAAATAAAAGCAAATGACGTGCAAGGTGCTCATCAGTCAGTGATATAGAGCACAGTCTAGGGGAAAACACTCTCAACCAAGTCGTAAAATTAGCTGCCTTTGACATTCCTATAAGGTCATGGTTGAATATTTTATCGACATGCCTCAACAAAAATGTTCCTGATGTAAAAGTAAGTTGTTTCGACTAATGTTTGGAGCTATTGTCTCATTTATTAATATTGGGCTTGGGAGAACGCGATAGCTTTGACAATAAAATCCATTGCTTGATGAAACAATCATCGAGTTTCTCAGCAGGGCACGGTATTTACACAGGACAAGTTAAGTTCGAGCACCTACAAATAGTGAATGGAGACACGCATTATTATCGTGTTTCGTGTTAGTTTTGACGGTTTATATACCACAGGATGAATTATTACCATTTATTTTATTATGAACAATTTAAGAGCCACAAACCATCATAGGCAATTCAGTACTACTTAGCGAAAAATGCTGAGGCCAATGACGCTTGTTCGGTAAAGGACGACAATGCTACACAATGAAGGGTTAGTGTTGATATGACGGTATAGTCCGTATATGGCTAACAAAGCCTTACATTATGGTTTGCAACTGGGTAATATACTGAAATAGACATGGTGCTATATTTAGAATGGGTTATCCCTGTTTTGACCAAGACTTGTTGGCTTAGCCATCTCATCGCCGATATACGCACGCACAAGGATGTAATGTCCATTGCTTGTCTTTTCGTCAATTTTCTTCTCTGCGTCCTTTGAAGTATATTTAAGGAGCAGACGATCGTTCTTCCGGAAGAGGAGGTTTCCCTTTCATAGCATGCGCCTAAAAGTTGCTGTCGCGATCGGAAACTTGAGAAAACAATGCGAAAAGGAATTTTGTTCGGTAATACCCGACACTGCTCTATCTGTTTCCAGAATTTCATTCACTTGATATTGAAATATCTGAAACATTGTGTTCCGTATGTAATAGAAGCTGACATCCATAAACTCCACCCCTTTGTAGTAAAAATCAGCTCTCAAAAGTATGTCCGAGAAGGCCTCAAGCATTGCATGCTTGGTG